GCGGAAAGTATATATATAATTATAATAAAGTTACAATAAATTAAGTTAATATATAATTATATATACAGTACTTAATTTATATATAATTTATATATAATTATATGTACAGTCGATACTAAACTCAATTTACCCGCCTAAACTGTCCGTAGCGTGGCGCTGGACGGCGGAAAGTAGTTCGGCTGCCCATGACGTTTTACGTAATTATAGGAGTTTTTTACCGTTGTTTACGGATACCGCCACAATTTTTTCGCCGTCTTATAGGAATCGTAATTATAGGAACCCGTCTTATAGGGGGATCTACTGTATATTAAACAACTTCCCAAATTTTCACGTCAATCGGATAAACGGTGTAGTAATGCATGAAGGACAGACATATACATTTATTTTTATGTATATAGAGCAGTGGTTCTTAACCTTTTAGTGATGAGGGACTATTTATCAAAATTTTTGTCTTGCTATGGACCACGAGCTGTTTCGCAGTAATATAGGTTTTTATAAGGTTGTTCTATAAATTAAACACGTAGAAAATTATTCGGAACCAAGAGTATTATATTATTNGGGACTATTTATCAAAATTTTTGTCTTGCTATGGACCACGAGCTGTTTCGCAGTAATATAGGTTCTTATAAGGTTGTTCTATAAATTAAACACGTAGAAAATTATTCGGAACCAAGAGTATTATATTATTCGCGAAAGTGTTACATTACAGTAGAGCATCGGTTATCCGACCCCCGATTAACCTTCGCATCGGTTATCCGACCCCCGATTAACCTTCGCATCGGTTAACCGACCGTTCTAGCCGGCAAATTTCAAATGTCCGCTAGTAATGTGGCGCTACAATATTTGTCTGTCTTGGCTACTTTAATATTATTTTTGTTAAATTTTTGCGTGTTTTAGCTGGCATCAACGGCTCGACCATTGAAGGGAGGCCAGTATTTATACGAGACTTAATTTTCTAATTATGAGTGGTTGTTTGTTTTGTGAGCAATAAAATAATTTAAAAATAATTTTTAACGATACAATAGCGACGTTTATTATTTTAAAAAAAATGTTAGGCTAAACATCGATGAAAATTCAACGCGAAGTTGGTTAATAGCGATATACTAATAAACTAATTACATGGGATATCCTGATATACTATACTAATAATGTATTTTTTCCCTTCTTTTCGGTTATCCGATTTTTTCAGTTATCCGACCAACCTGAGTTCCCAATTGAGTCGGATAATCGATGTTCTATTGTAATTATATTATTTTAGTGCAATTTTTGTGAAAGCATACTGTTTACCAACTGCTGAATTCTTGGTTCAGCGCTACTCAAAGCAAACGCATGGCGGCACTGGCATCCAACCGATTTCTATGTTTATTTTTAATTATCAAAAGCACTGAGAATCCTTGCTTGCATAAATATGTGGTTGAAAATAAAGTTAGGTACCGTAAAGCAATTTCTCGAATTTTAGGGAAAGCAATAGCTTTTTGGCTCCAAAAATCTTTAAGATTAATTCCTGTCTCGAATGTATCCTTGCAGTTACTATCGTGTTGCATTTCAATTAACTCTTCTTGTATTTCATCCGGCACCTCAGAAATGTTGACTATGAAAGGATTGCGAATCAGTTTCCGAATACCTTTGTCCTTGCAGTCAGGAAAATAGCGATTAAATTCATTTTTCAAGCAGTTGCGTACCGTAGGGGAGGGGCGGTAGGGGCGGTCCGCCCCCAGGCGGCACTTTTTAGGGGACGTCAAAATTACGTTTTAGGGGGCGGCAAAATTTCACAATAAATAATAATAATATCTTGTAAAAATTTGAAACATCCTAATCTATACTTGCATCGCGCCTACGATAGTGCTATCGTCCGGACAGTCCGGGAATCGGCTCACCTGGTGAACTAGTAACTTTTTCATCGCAGGAGTTCCTGCGAAACCTGTTGATTTTTTTTAATTTTTATTTATTTATTTATTTTTTTGCTTGTACGATTCATTCGCGTTCATATACACCACTAATATCCAATAGTACTATTTTGAACAGGTCGCTGCACTACCACCGAAGTTTTCATTGCTTGTTCTGTGACAAAACTGAATTTTGGTCTTTTAAATTGAAATACCTAAATAAGGAGGGGCCGAAATTTTCCTCTGCCCGGGCGGCTGACACCCACGGTACGCCACTGTTTTCAAGCTTTGCAAATGGAATGTAATGTTCTTTTGTATTTATCCTTTAATCTCAGCACACTTTCAATCAATAATTGGGTTCAATGTATCAAACGCAGAAAAATTCTCTCTTTCGACTTTGCTGATCCATAGGTCGATTTTAGCGATAAACGCACTGATTTTATCTTCAATTGCAAATTTATTGCTAGTGCCTTCCAATTTCATATTTCCTGACCGCGCACCATACCCCAGCCCAGTCCGCTATCGGCTCTAACCTTGACGTACCGTGCGTTGTCATCAACTCGTCGTCATTTATTTAATAATTTTGGGATAACATCACGGACCACATCGGGTGCTTTCAGGGAACACCAGTGGTCCATGGACCACAGGTTAAGAACCACGGATATAGAACAAATCATTACCTTTCAAATCGGCTGCAAAGTCTTGTAAACTTCCTTTCTTTCACGTTGACATAATAGTGATCAAGCAAGGTAACAATCAGCAACCAATATGGCGCGCGCTTCTTTGCGCAGTCTCTGTATGTGTGAGCAGAGTCATGTGACGTCACGTGCACTCCCCTCTACAAATAAATCAAATATTTAAATAATTTTTTTAAAACTCTTGTCAACTCTACAGAACTATCATAAAAACATAACCCAACCGATAGGAATTTACAGGTAAGTTATAAATCTACCCGCGATTCACATAATGGGGCGAGGGCGGCCAAATATCTAGCAGACAGGCGGCTAACAGCCCAGAACCGGTCCTGGATAGAATCATTGGAAGGTCTTAGTGTTAGCTTCCACCGTGAGGTTGGTGCTCTGTAAAACGCATACGCGAATGCCTATAATCTGACTGTTTTACACCATTCAAATACTTTCGTCGTGGAAGCTGTCCCGTATTCGACAATACGGCGCTTCCATTGGAAATATCCGCATATGAATTTATATTCGAATATATAATCGCAATCTTATCTTTTTATCTTTTTCTTCACATCTATAGAAATTTCTAATAAGATACGTTCAAATATAAATACATATTGTGCGATTATTTTCATATCTTAGAAAATACAAGGGAAGCGGCGTTTCCACCGTTTCCAAAGAACGGCACGCCACTGAATGACTATCAGCCTTTGATCGTTTGGTTGTGGCAAGTTACATCCGGTTTCTTCCTCATTTGTAAAACATGCCATTGCCATTATAAACAGTTTTATGTAAGCTTTACGTTTTGGTATTAAAACACAAGAATTTTCGCTATAGTGGTTGTTAAACGCATGATTCTTCACTAATAATGCAAGTGACAAAAATGAACACAATTAATGGAAAAGTTGTTCTGCCATTTGGTGAGAGAAAATAAAATCAAATTCACGCATATTAAGCGAAAAGATCTGATATTATCAGGGAATGTGGTGATTCATTTAACATGCGTGACTTTTCTTTCAAGTCGATTCTTTCCATAGACACACTGTTATAACTGGCGACATCCGAATGGCAAGCGATTAAGATGGCAGACTACTGCTCTGGGAGACCAAGAATCGAATACAGGCGGGTGAAATCATTCCAGGTATTTTTCAAATATCGGTTTCCTTCTCTCACCAAGCAACCGCTCCATTGTGAGCCTGATCGCGTGGCAAAGGACAGGATCGACAAAACCCATAATGCACTTGTTAAAAAGAGAGCGCTCTTAGTGCCCAAAGAACGAAAGTTTTACAAAATGTACAGTATATATACCTAACTATAATTTAACAAATAAATAACATGCAACAGTAGTTACATCCCTATAAGATTTATTTTTTCATATTAGTAAAAGCAGATCGTTATACTGTATTCATTGAAAAGTTGATTTTGCTTACTTCCTTTTACCATTACATTTTTGGTTTGTTTTTATAGGTACTTTATCAGGAAGTCCTGTACACCAACACGACAGATTTATATAACAATATCCACCTTCACCTTTCAGGTCTTTGCAGACTTTGTCGCAGTATTCGTTTTTCCAACAAGTATATTTGCAACCACTTGCTTCAACTGGATATCCGTCTTTCTTACAATTTACATCTGAATAAATATAAAACAATTTTTTATATTTAAGTATAATCATTACTTTTACTTAAATTATACGGGTTGAATCAGATAAGTAGCTGCACGTTTGATCTGATGGTGATCTTACACTATTTGATTTACGGGAGACAGAATAAGAGAATTTGCAAGCCAAGTATAATTAGATATACTGTATTAAAAATAAAATTTATTTTATTGCTTCAAACTGCTCTCCGGTTAAATATTTCAAATAGTGTCAGCATACGGTGTGATCAATTGTGTGACCATTTTTTCTGACTCATTCTATAAAACTATTGATTAATTAATATTAGCACATATGTTGGTCCTCTACCCTTGTTACCAGACATCCCCTATGTGGATTTGGATAAACTCACGTTTAGTATTAAAAATAAAATTTATTTTATTGCTTCGAACTGCTCTCTGGTTAAATATTTCAAATAGTGTCAGCATACGGTGTGATCAATTGTGTAACCATTTTTCTGACTCATTCTATAAAACTATTGATTAATTAATATTAGCACAGTGTATTTATTTTTACTAAATAAATATAAGTATAAAGAAAATTTTTACCCAATATTAACAGAGCTGCAACCAAAATCAATATAAAATAATTCATTTTCAGTCTTCTGATAAATTATGAATTCTTCGAAGATGGCTTCTTCGAATTCATCTTTTCATCTATATTTATACAAAGTAAATACATAAAACACATATGGACAATTAATCTATATCAGATAATAAAAGTGATTCGATTTGAACAAATAAAAAAGTAATATTGCAATAATTATCCATTAAATTTATAGCTAAAAGCTATTATTATTTGCTGAAAGTACGACAGGCCAGCTAAAGAAATCTATCAATTCGTATTGGTAAGTAAATAATTGCTTAACAATTAAATAAACTTTGTTAAAATTGAAAATTTATCAAAGTATAATATTATATTAAATATTAAAATAGAAGAGACCCGCTGATTGAAATAAAACTATATAGCTATTCTGCTTTAATGACATAATGCTGAAACTTATTCAAAAGATTGTAGGCCTACTAAGAATAATTCTATTTTTTAGTGAAGATAATTATTGGCGTTCCTGTAAAATTTCTGCCTGCTCTGTGAGCACTAAGAAAGCCTCTTATAGCAAGCTCATTAAAGGTTTGGCCAGGTCGCGTTGGGTGATGAGGGACTGGGGACCGACATGTCTGGTAGCATCACCCCCGAAAATTTTCTGGAGAGTTTTCGACCCGTTCGGAGTCGACAAATCTCCCAGAGCGGTAGGCTGCCAGCTTCTATCTCGGCCTTCCGGCCAACCATACTTTTATTTATCGTTGTAAAGGATAAATTAAAAAACGTCGTAATTTACAATGGAAGTTTTCCATTTAAATATTTAACATGAATGTATGAAACCTGCTTATTTATAACAAATAATAATATATTTAATTAAACAATAGCATTTCTATTGAACTGTTGGGACGGATAGAGGTTAGTTGTAGCCTACTAAAAGCTGTTTTTGGCAATTCATTAGTCTATGAAAGATTGCAACTTCACATATAAGACAACGGACGATTTTTTTAGATAAATTTTGAATAGAAGTCNTTTTTTCCCGATCTAAGCCTGGAGAAGACTGGTTACGGTGCATAAATTGTTTCCGTTGGGCTCACGCTTCTTGCGCTGACGTTTCTAAAAGAGCCAAGCATTTCATTTGTGAACTTTGTCAGTAATTTTATAGTTTTTACGTGTATGTCATTTTGTCCATAGTATATGTCATTTTGTCCATAGTGGATGATCTCGATTAAACTAACAATATTTTTTTCCTATTATTTTAATATTGTAAATGTTTAGTATATTTCATAGGTAACAAACCAAAGATGATTGGTGTAGAATATGACAGTGCTGTGATTTACCAATAAAGAGTTATGAACCTAAAATAAAACCGTATGTCATTTTGTCCGTATTTCCCCTACTAATCAGCGTATAAAATAATTGATTAACTGTTGTCTGAAATCCTGATAAGAAAAGGGTGATTACGCAATCATCTAATTCCGCTTTTGTTTAACATTCAAACTTTAAGTCCCTTCGCACTTGATTTCTTTAGATAGAAAATCCATTCTTTTGGACAACTGAGGGCTATTCACAAGGAATACCTGCCGAATAAGTGATTTCTAGAGTCTTACCTACTCCGTATCGCCGGCTAGCCCTTCACACAATTAACTGCCTGAAAGTTTATAACATTTACAATCTTTATAATACCAATACTTTCGTCTGTTCTACTTATTTGACAAGAGCAATGAAGACCGAAACTATGAAAATTGCTTGAGACCATGATATTATTGTTTATAATTACAATACGAACCTCAATTCGGGATCCACAACGGTTGTCAGATCGTCTACAGCACCCATTTTACACGTTCCTACGGGATGATAAATAGTGGCAGTTAAAGTTCTAAGCACGCATTCGAGATATTCATCGCTGAGTCTTAAAAATCTTTCGCATCCTGGAACAGGAGTCGAATATAATCGAGATCCGANTTATTATTATCAAAGATAATAACTTCTAACTTTCGTTTATTTAAACAAAACGTCTATGAATGAAATAAAAATTTTACTAAAATGTGACCAAAAATCATACTTTTTGACGTTTTGAAAAAGTCATTTCTTGACGACAATTTTGTTTTCAAACAGAATGGCTGATATTGTTCATACTTTTTACATCTAAGGGCGTCTCTAAATGCCATTAATTTTAAGACACAGCTCTGGTACGATTTAATCGCAGGTACGATTTAGGTTTATTCTAATATTTAAACTATTTTTAAATAATTAATAACTCTGTTCTATTTAACAACTACTAATAATAATTTGTTTAAAACAATCATCATTCAGCTGTTTTAATTATCAANATTGCAACACATTACAAAGTAAGAATCCAGGAAAAAGTAATTGGACTATTCGGCCGAGCCACATGGCCTTGATCAAATGCGGTGCAGCTTTACCATCATGCTTCGTTCTGCATCTTAATCTATACGACCTATAAGCTATTGATCGTCATTGGTATGGTTACTGAATAAATATGTAGTAAGACGAATAATATTACTAATTATAACTGAATATTCGTAAACATTTGTTACTGAATAAATGTAAAGACGATATTATCTATATTATGGCGTGGAAAAAAGTTAGAACACTACTTATAGTGCTGTCGTAAATCCGGAAAGACTCGTGACTTAAACTTTAATAATTAAACAGAAATAATATTTTATAAAACACGTTAAGAAAAACCCATTTATATTTAATGAAAAAAAATTCCAGTAACGAGTTGCATAACTTTCCCGGAAAAAAATGTTGAAATCGTTGTGACGCCATATGTTAGAGGTTTTATTTTAAAAGTTTTTATATTATTAATTACTATAAAATGGCAAAAAATAATCTTAAATTTCAGGAAAAGGATGGGTTTTATTCAAAAGGTAATGGTAAATATCAATAAAATGTAAATTCTTCATTTAAAGTCTGCAAGTCGCCCTTCTATCTTTCTACCCCTTGACCTTTAATCACCAAAATTTAATAGAATCAATCCTCTTAATACGCAAACCTACCTCTAAAATTTCAGAAATTTTCAACAAAAGTTATTAAGCTTCAAAGTGGGTGAACAAAATCAGGCTCCAACACAAACTAATATCCATACATAAAGGAAAACAAAATTCAATTTTCTGCCTTTCTCGACATTTTAAAGTCGAGTCCAAAAACGTGAAAATCTCGGGGAAACTTTTTAGACGCCTGTCATAAATTCAACAAGATCTACAACAATGAAATAGTAAAAGACAAAACTCAATACAACTGGAACAACCTACCAATGCAAATTGCTGAGCTAATTTTATCCAATATTTATAATCCAATATTTATAAATACAGTATATATTTTTGGTTAAGAGAAAAACATATGATTCTTATGCGTCTTTACGTCTCTAAAAGTACTTTTAAAAATGTGTATGAAATTAACAATAAATATGATTCAATAAATATAAAATAAAATTTCAATACTTGACTTGATTATTTATGCCAAAGGCTGGAATAAAAATTTCTCCTCCATCAGAAGTCAGACTGCCAGTTACAAAATACAGTTCGATATCTGGATAATCATCAGAAGAATTCGCAAAACGGGTATTGATGAAAGCCAAACCTTCGACTCCACCTAATGTGGTCCACGGACCTATAAAAGCGGTTTCTTTATTATATTATTTAAACACTGTTGTCTGTTCAAATAAACATATCAATAAAAGTCTTACCAGAACCATATTTGAAATAACGTAGAGCATTGAATGGAGTTAGAACACGGTAGGCGACGATAGCAACTGGTTTGTCAATTAAGAAATCCATTCCAAGAGGAAAAATGTGATCTTGAAGATTAAGGCCTACTGGAAGATCTGACACGACTGGAATCTGTATGATAATAATTAGTTGATAATTTGTTATTCGATAAGACGTACAGATAAGAGCTTACGTGTTAGCTAAAATTAGTAAAAATTGAAAATTACTATTCTATATGTAGTCAGCCAGATGACTGTGCTTACAAATATTAGTGTTTTTACCGTGAGGAATTTCAATAAAGTATTAGATTCTGACTCCTTAAGTTATGATAGATTTAGACTGGGACATGGTCCTCTATGGCTGCGTCATTGTGGCCTATCCNTAGAAAGTATGAACAAGTAGCCTATACTTTAACTATACACTAACTATCGAGAGAACAAGAAAAATGCTGTTTACATCACATTCACATTCAGAATTTAAGAAAATAATTTTTCTGTTTATCAGCATTTTAATGAATTTCAACCGAAATACATTCATAACTAAATTTCGGCATTAACTCTCGAAATACTCGAAAAATGCATGTTCATCTATCCTGTAATGTTGTAACGACAGGGATTATTATGCATGGTATTTTTTTTACAGTGATTAAAATAATTTAATTTTACAATCCAAGATGCAAAAGCAAATTCTCGCTTAGCAATATAAACGTATAACTCCCTATAAACGTACAAATCTAACTCTCTGCTTTATTTGGCAAAAACGAAACTCTCCTACTCTTATTTATTTCTCCATACCAAAAAAAAAAAAAAAAAAAAAAAAA